CTTACTCAATACGTACAAATTGAGAATAGTGAGGGCTCCGGAAACGAGCCCAGTAGTTCGTTCCAATGATCTCTCGCGAAATGCAATCAATGTAAATAACGTCACTTATTGGTTTATGTTTTTATTTCTTGCTTCAAAACGTTTGCACGAAGAAATGAAAAATGTAAGCGCTACGATATTACGCTCTAACCTAATATTTCAGCACTAAGCTTGCAGCTCAAGCTCAGTGCTGAAGTACTTCACAGGAGAATGTCAAACAACTTCAAAGCAGGGGTTGCCTTCAAATTTCCATGGAATTTTGAACGGTGCCCCAAGCGTATTGATGGAGTCTAATTATAAATATCGGCACTAAAACTGCTACGTGAACTTTTGAGAAAGTTGCTAGCCTTCACATATACCAGCAAGAGGAATCCATTTTCAGGAGCCTAGAAGCATGAAGAAAGTGGGGGAGCCCTCGGCGGCGCAGTGGTGGAGTCTTCATTCTGGAGACGGTAGCTCGTGGGTATACCCACCCGGGCGAAAATTCTCGCACACCTCATGTATCCAGCAAGAACTGTCATTCTAAGAACTGCCTAATTGTTTTTAAGGTGTTTGTTATTTTAATATCTATTCAACTGATAACTGCTCTCATTTAAAGGCAAACTCCGGGATAAAACGTGGGACTTACCTGTTCAACTATGAAGTACTGGGTGCTAAGTGAATCGAAGCTAAAGAAAAAAGCAGGAAGTACTCCAAAAAAGTCCAAAATAAGAAATTTCTCTTCGTTAGTCGCTTAGAAGCCAGGGCTGGGAGAATTACGTGTCTGGACGTCTACAGCAACTGTTGGCTTTATGCCAGCAACCGACACGGCTACAAAAAATCAGCAGTGAAAACTGATTGCCTTCTAATTTCGCTATTTTTTCTATTTACCTGTACTTTTTTTGTTTTTTCCTATCTCAAAAATTTGATTATCACTAGAATGAATGACTAGGTTCTCGATAATGGTCTTAATATAGGCTTTGATGTTGGTTTTCGCAGTTGCGAATTCGCTAAATATTCCTCTACGACCTTCCAAATAACAACTTAACATCTAGTGTTCCATGTGGTTGTTTGGAAGGTCGCATGGAAAGTGGGCGGGCTCAATGGGGTTGGGGCGGCGCCAATGCTCCAACCTAGGCTCCTAGCGCCTAAACCTTGTCAAATCGCCCCGCCACTTCTGCACATGGTCTGCCCTTGCGTACTGCTGCATATTTGACGGGGAAATCTCTCCAATAATTATGCTATTCGCCGCAAACCCCCGCGACTTTGAACACTTATTTATCGTCACATTACGCCGATATCTGCATAATCAATTATGAATTACTTTTCGTCGAGATGCCATCGTAACCATCACCTTCACGCTGGCTGCGCATCCTGTCCCTCCAGCAACTTGTTGAGCCAAGGTTCTCTGTTATCGAAGGATGCCACGTTTCACCTGTCAAGACGCTCGGACTTTGTGGTAATCGACTCGCACACTACCTCGAGGGGAACTCCGATTTCTTTTGGCCGGGACACTTCGACGAATGCCCCGTTATGCAGTTCTTATCGTATGCTTGACCGACTGCTATATCTGATATCCAAAACGAAACCTCCCACACACACACCACTCCTTGGCCATACACCAATTCTCACACATAATATATATTTACCCGAGTGTGAAAATCCCTAGGTCACTATGCGGCGATCGGCGATGAGACTTGTAAGCTCACAGCCGTGAGTAGCACTTCCCCCACTGGCCCACGTGTCAAGGGCGCTTTAACTCATATTGTGGCAAAACGAACTGTCAGCATATCTCCAGCACACACTCATGTAGAATCCACCACAGACTGATCCGTCTCATCAGCAAACACTCTGTATATATGGAAGATAGCTCACAATGTGCACGCTGCCAACAAAACTTTGCACGTTAAAGCGCATCAGTATGAGAGCAGAAAGTTGCTGACCAACGCAGCTGGTCAAGCGCGAATTAGTGACGGCACCCCGACTATGTCAGGAGCTTTGCATGATGAGTTCCCAATAGTCTAGTTTTCACCCAGTGGCACACCAACTGCCGAGGTAGGTTAAGTATTTCTAAAAACCGTACGTGTGTTCGAAGCTGAATGAAGTGCTCCATACGTGAAAGTCGTTGCGAGTAGTGTCCGCTGGAGAATGCACAAGAGAGTGAACTAGACACGATATAAGAATTTTCGGAGCGTCAGGTTCGAGGCTGTGTAGGGCTCATAGCAGTTGAAGCGATTAGAATAAGGTCGGTTTGTACGGTGATCGACGACAGTACGAGCATCTCGTTTCCCAGTAATTACATCATATCATCCGTGAAGGCGAGTCGTGCCCTACCATCGCCAACGAGAGAGCTCACGCGGCATGTTGGTATGAGAGCTGCAAAGTCTTCAACTACCCCACTGTGGATGATAAATAGTGTGGGCTACAAGGCAAAGCGTATATATGATACATAAATATTAATAGTTTAATATTTATTTGAGAGTCATAGCCCGCTGTATTGCTGTGAGCAACGATCCATTGTGTAACGAGCGGCGGTTCTTAATTCGAGACATGAAAAGCTAAGGGCCAATTGTTAGAATGGGTAGCTAGCTAGTGTACTATACGAAGTTATTACGTATACATTATATTAACGATAACTAACAAGAACATAAAAGGAAAATTTAACAAAGTGTCAACTATAAAATAAGACAAGCGTGATTGCAGCAATACAAACAGATCGAGAGTAAAAAAATCAACAAACTACGCGCAAGTGAAAGGATCGGATAGACTGCAGAGCGACTCAATGCAAATACAGAAAGGATGAAAAAGCTTACCAGTCAAGCGGACCACATTGCAGTGATGCTAAGATGAAGAAATGAAGCCGATGAGAAAGAGATAGTACTGAGGAACGGAATGCTCCAAGGAGGACGGTAGAAAAGAATACATAGAAAGAGAAATTAGAAAATAGAAAAGGTGGCAGAAAGACATCTTGCATACAGCTGAATTTAACCATATGACACAGACCCGCATCAGTCGGCAATGACGCCTGAATGACGCGTTCCTTAATGGAATGGAGAATAGAGGTATCCAGAGAGACTTTAATGGATTCTACTACGGCTAGAAATTTCTCTTACATTTGGATGAGCATATTTTTAATCAGGGATATATCTTCCTCCATACGTATCTGTCTGGTTATGATCTCCCTCTCCGCTGGACTTGGTTCCGTGGTACCAGTATTGGAACTCTGCTGTGATTCTTCACCGTAACCCTGCGCGCTAGACACGTCGAATACATCCTCGATTAGCTCCCCATCCGTGGTCACGCAGTTTGCTTTCATCTCACATATCTCCTTGGGGCCAATGAAAAGTATCTAAACAGTCTTATAAATAATACAAAAATTGTCGAACAAGGTTATGCAAGGAACGATGAATAGAATGGTACCTTTCCTTTATAATTACGACCTTCTCACCGCACCCTGGTAGTATCGCCTGTTTTCGCACAATGAGGTGCAGAAGGAGTGGGTACCACGTCGCTGGTGGGTGTATGGGGAAAGAAAACAAGTGCGCACTTCTTGGTATGTGAGAAACTGACTAAATATTTCTAATTGATTTAGCGTGCTCGTTTTAGCTCACTTCGATGAAATTATTATGGAAATTGAAAGGTGTTATCAACACAATAGTTCTACAACGTCACAAGATGTCGCAAATCGCCTCAAAACACGTGGCATCGTAGTCAGTACAGCATATATAAAAAAGCTTAGACAGCGCAGAGGACTCAAAAAGGCGACGACAAAATATTGCCACACGATAAGGGACAGTAATAAACAGGCTCGCCTTGACTTCTGCTCGGAGATGCTTGCCGCAGGTGTGGGGTTTTCCGACTGTGTCTTCACGGACGAATGCACAGTTCGAAGTAAGAGTATTTCCGCTAAAATCTGATGTAAATTGGACTTACTTCGGTCATCTTTTCAGTTGATTGCTCTACTAGGTACTGTTTTGTTAAAAAAGGAGACCTCCAGTCAAGAAGGGAGAAGAGAATAGATGTGAGGAATAGAATGAGGAATAGAGCGAAACACCCTCCCAAGGTCCACATCTGGGGGGTATTTCTGTTCGAGGAACCACATAATTCGCTATTCTACCAGGAACATGTCGCACTGATAGTAAATTGTATTGTAGAATTCTGGAAAAATGCTACCTCCCCTTCAAATCCAAGGTTTACAACGGTTTGTGTCTGTCTGGACTTCGTTTTCTATTTTTCTTCTCCAGAATTTTGACATGTCTGATACAATGCACTTACGTGTTTTGTCGTCCAAGATAATGCGCCTCCCCATAAAAACCGTTATACACTCGATAAGCTGAAGAGTTGGGCACTAGACACAGTGGATTGGCCGGCGGAGTCCCCAGATCTTAAATTGAATTAGTGTGGGGTAACATGAAGAACAGCATCAGGTATCCGATAACAATAAGCCTACGAGTTCGTTACTTTGAACAAGCTCCATTTGATAAGTTTTGATGGGAAGCAAGGAGTTCGTAGTTTTGATGGACTGAAGGTGGCGATAGCCCAGTACTGGAACACGTTGACACCAGAAGTTTGCGCACGATATATTGGTGGCGTAAGAAAAAGAATGGAGCGCGTTGTGGAGCACGGAGGAGGTAACATCTTTGAAGGGAAGTGATAAAGTGCAATTCACAGAACTGTTCGGTAACACAACTGATTAATGCTTGAATGATTATTTGGAAACTGTTTGATCACATGGATACTCATGATTAAACGTATTTATATGCGGTATATTTGTTTTGTATTTATTCAACTGTGTGCTCATCAACTGTGTCCTTAATATAATATTCGAATAAACAGTCAGCAATTTATCTACAAGGAGGTTTTCAGAAGGTATAAAGAGTTGGCACAAAACCAAGGCAGAACATGTCCTGACACGCTAAAGATCGATCAATCATACAGCCGTGTCGCGATTGGCAGCCTGTGTTATCAAATGGTAGCCCGATATGCTCGCCAATGCAACCGGCCCAATGGAGCAGTGGAAGTGCGTTCGCTTCATGTCTGCTCCTGGGGATCCGTAGGGGTTCGGATCCTCCGTCGTGCACAATGTTTGCAAACGTCGAGCCAACGTCGCTGGCAAGCACTGTGCGCTACCGCGTGAGCTGGGCCGGTTCTTAGTAGTACCGCCCCCCCCCCCGTTGGTTTCCCTGAAATGGGAACTTTGGGGTTTTGAACTTAGTACAAGTGAGATTTGGGGTGCCGATTTCGTGGTAGATGTATAGCAAGTCTGTTATGCTTCACTCAATGGTACCGAATTGGTAATAAGTGAGGCAACTATGGCCTCCCAACAGAAACGCGGCACACAATATCTATTGTGAATTAGCTAAGTTCGATGTTCATTGAAAAATAACACAGTCCTACCATTCTCTCGTTGAGGTGCGACAAAAGCCCTCTGGTAATTGAGAGAGATCTGGAGGTCAGCGGCTCGGCGAGACGCCTAATTAGGTAGAATGGTTTAGTGCAGGAGAGATGGCCGCGATGAAACTCGAAAAAACATGGAAAATTTTGTGACTTGAAATTCATATTAATGTAAAGCATTTTTCCCGAGGATTTCAATGGTATACTTTTTGTACTGTTTTCTTTCCATGAAAAAATGTGAATTTCGCTCTGATTAACACGTTGACGACAACGCGCGTTTTGGGTTTTTGCGCCGCGTGGGACCACGGCGATTTTGCAGGCGCCGCCGCCTCACATCAAATCCGTGAATTTTGAGCTTTAAATACCCAAAACTCGGATGCAACAAAATGTTTAGAATGATATTCGATGTGTCAAACTTATCATGTAAAAATCGATCGAATTGACGTTTTCTGGCGATGAAAGGCAAGTTTCAGTTGCTTTTGCTGCAGTGAACCTCAAAATTATTTTTGACGCGGTTGCTCCACTAAAAACATATGTCTTGCTATATGTGTGGGTCTGTACTTACTTCTACTGCTCTTTTTTATGACCAAGATTATCAGAATATAAAGGAAACTAGGAATGAACACAATTGGGAAATTCGTAGGGCTTAGAAAACCTTCGCTAAAAAGGAGCATATTCAACCATTCAATGAACCTCGCCGTGTCTAGTCATATTATGGTGTAGTCTATAGAATAGATGCAAAAAATTAGAAAAGAAGTAGCGCATGCGCGAAAAAATAAATATTTTGTGTGTGCAGCGCATGCGCTGCACACGGTCCCACACGGTGCTCAAGGTGTGATGCGCATGCGCTGCACAATGTCGTCAACGTGTTAAAGGCCTCGAAATTGACAGCCGGTGCTAGGTAGGAACTTCAAAAACTTCTCGTCAATAGGGGTGAGCTCTGTAGAAAAGGAACGTTAAGTGACAAGGCTCAGATCCTATTAGTTTTACTATACTTTGGCTCAAAGGAGCTTTTCCATGCAAAAATGACATTCAACAAAGCTGACCCACCTGGGATGAATTCGGTATCAAAATGACGAGCACCATCTGAAGAACACAACAGTCTCTTTTCACTTTACATAGGAGTAATATAATAACTTTATTACTCGCTAAATACTACTATTAATATCTGTTCCCCTCTGGTTATAATTATAGCGAGCGACGCTCGCTAATGAGTCAGCCTCAGGTAATTTGATAAATTTCATGAAAATGAAGCGATAAATTCAGAGGAACTCAATGTCCTCCAAACCATTGGATTCTTCGTGAGCAGAGCTATCCAGTGGTATAACTTTCGAATGACCTGACCTAGTCCATTTGTTCACGAGTTATGGCGAGGCGACGGTTGCGACGGACTGACTGCGTCGCATTTCGTCGATTGAACAAAAATTAGTAGCGGTATTGTAGAAAGTGAAAGTAGAAAATAGAAAAGGTGGCAAAAAGACATCTTGCATTCAGCTGAATTTAACCTTATGACGCAGACCCGCATCAGTCGGTGATGACGCCTGAACATGAATTGTCAATATAAGATTACAGGATTTTTTCCTGACAATTTTTGTGTAAAAGGCCACTCAGCCGACGTCCCAAAATTATACGTCCACCTCACGTTTTTCGATTACTTTTCACTTCTGTTCCACGAAACTTTTTCATTGTGGTAACACTTCACTTCTTAAGGGACAGCATAATAAAAACTGCTGTTGGACTTTGGAAAAGGTTAAGTCGTCGCAAAAACTGCTGCGGGAACCAATCGCGTCACACTTGGACTAGGTCGACACCAGGCTCAAGGATTTTTCTGGGATTTCACATGATATGGGGTTGAGAAGAGCACCTTACTGCTTTTTGATAGAAATAAAGCCCTGGCCTCAAAATAAACATCACTACTACCGAACCGTGCTCGTCATCGAATCTTCTTCAGAATTTTATGTCTCAGCGTTCTAATGTATTTGCATGTAAAGTTGTCTCAAATTCATTTTTAAGTTAGAAATGGGGGCATCATCTGGTGGAAGGTACCATGGCGGAACTTGGACCAACTTTCGCATAAGGTTGCAGACGAGCCGACTGAAGTAAAGTTCGCTTTGCTTGATATGTTTTACCACTTGTCCCTTATTCTCCTCATGTGTTTTTCCCTTGAAGGTTTCTTTCTTCGCAAAGCACGAACAAAGGAAGAAAAACACGAACTGTAAAAACCATATCTTTTTGTTTTTCTCTTCATGTTTTCCTTCTCTTGTTCTTGTGAAGAAGGAAACCATCAAGTTAAAAAACGTGAGGAGAATTAGGGAAAAGTACTGTAACATAGCAGGCAAAAGCTTCAGTCGGCTTGGCTGGAACCTTTTGCAAAGTTGGCCCAAGTTCCGCCATAGCTCCTTCCCACAGAAGATGCCTTCCACATTTCTATCCTAAGAATAAACTTGAGACACTTTTACATGCAAACCATTCGCCCGTTGAGACATAAAATTCCAAAGAAGATTCGACGGCGAGCACGGTTTGATAGTAGTGGATGATTCTTCTGAGGCACGGGCTTTAATATTTCTTTCGAAAAGTCAGTGAGAGATCCTCGGAGCTCTTCTGAACTCCATATCATGTGAAATCCCTGAAGAAACCTTGAGCTTGGCGTGAATTTGGTCCAAATCTGGCGCGATTGCGTTGTTCAACAGTTTTTGCGACATTGACCTTTTTCAAAATCCAACAGCAGTTTTATTATGCTGTTCCCTTAAGAAGTGAAGTGTTACCACAATGAAAAAGTTTCGTGGAACAGAAGTGAAAAGTAATCGATAAACGTGAGGTGGACGTATAATTTTGGGACGTCGGCTGAGTGGCCTTTTACACAAAAATTATCAGAAAAAATTCCTGTAATCTTATGTTGACAATTCGTTCGTAGACGACGACTTAACAATTATACTTAGCACAGTCGTAGTTGGAGACTTCTTGTAAATATCTAAATTTGTAAGATTTTGGGAATCTCTCAGGTGTATTATAATCATGGGACAAGTGTACTGTCGCGGCAGCACTCAAAAACTTCAAAATAGCCTTCTCCCATGGCTTCAGAAAATTTCCCCATGGAACGTGGTGCACGGTTCGAGCCCAGCGAGGGTGGTGGTTAGTTTAGGCCATTATGTCATGATCTAAAACGCTGT